GGCGGGCCCGGCTGAGCTCCCTTTGCTCCCTCAGGAGGAAGAGTCGTGAGGTCTCGTTACCTGAAATACGATAAGAAGGACCCCAAGAAGGTACTTCACCGCCTCGCTGCTGGGCTCAGGGGTGGTTCTGATGTCAGTTATTCATTGGGATAAGTGATGTTTTGGGAAAAAAAAAAGAACGTAAGGGACACGCAGAATAAAAACAGGGCCTAGATCGCAGTGAAACAGTAGAGATTAGGGAAAACCAAATTCCGATTAGAGAAAAGCTCTCTCTGAGTAGTCAACAGCCCGGCCTTGAGCCAGGCCTGCAGGACAGGTGAACGGGCAGGAAAGCAGCACTTCCCACGGCTTGTCTTGGTTACAACCTTGAGCACTGGGGAAAAACACATTGAGTAATTGAAAACACCGTATTAATAAATTAATGAGCCTTTAGCGTAGTAAAATTCACACCCACCGGCTGGAGTGACCCCTTCTAACAACAGCCCTCCACTCTCTGAGCACGCACAGTGAGGTTTTTTGAGCATTGCCACTTGAAGTGGAAGGGAGGATTAGTTAACCAATCGTGTGTGCCAGTGACATAATAGTGTTGGAGATAAAGTTCTTTCTCATGTTTTTGGGTATAAAAGTATCCCTTGTGTTTCAGGAAACTGAGCTTGATTTGTGGAATAACCCCCTGCTCCCTGTTTGGTGCAGAATTGGGTGTTTAAGCAGCTCTCTTGACTTTGTGTGGACTGGCTTCTTGCACCCCAGGGAACAGGCCCCACTTTCAGGACAGCAGTTCAGCAAAGGATGGGGATTATGTGAGGGGCAGCTCAGAGCTGTGGCAGGGAGACCTGAACAAAAAATAACTCTGATGGTGTAATGAGGGAGTGGCAGTGTATTACTGTATGCAGGCTGGAATGGGAGCTTGAGGCTGTACTCAAGTGACTGGCAAAGCACCAAGATGCCCTGGGATTGCTGTTGTTTATTGTCAGCATTCAAATTGGAGGTTAGGTCATTGTTACTGCTTGTGTTCTGATTTTTCTGTTTCTTGATTGTCAGGACATTTCAGGCGATTCTTTTTCAACTTCTACTGTGAAACCATCTTCTGCAACTAAATCAAAACCGGCTTTTCCTCAGAGGTGTAAAACACCTGCTGGTAGGTTATACCAGGATAATTTAGAAGTTTTTGTTTTGTGAATATGTATTTGCACCTCTCTCTTGCCTTCTGCACAACGCTTTGAACTGCTCTTTTACTGTGCCCCTCACTATTGCCCTGCTTTTTCAATTTAATCTTTTCAATAAACCCAGTGTAAATTACTCAAAATACCTATCTGCAAAGCAGTCCCTTTTTATTTCTTTTGCAAGAATTGCATAAGAATTTTCTCGTAAGATCTTGACTTGAAAACCCTGAGGAAATAACATTATTGCCTTTCACATCTGAATGTTGTTGTTGAACTGTGAAATGCTTAAGAGGATAACATGCTGAACTATCTTTATCTCTAGGTCAGTTAGTGAGTATGTAAATGAAGTATATAAAGTAAATGTGTAAAAGCTTATGTAAGGTTACCAGGTATTAATGAAAGCATATATAATTGTGAACTTGTGCAGAATATGTTCTAATTCTTTTAGTTTGATGACAGCTTCTTTCTACAGGTGTTTCCTCTTGCTCATTCAGACAGAGTGGTTTTGAGAAAGATGACTTGCAGTCCACTTTGTTAGATGGAGATAAAGTTAGTCGACCAGACCTTGATCTCTCAGCTATTAATGGTAAGTTTCCACTCATGCTCAATTTCATGTTTTATTATTGGTGATGTATGTGCTGTTACTGATGATAAGTGACCCTTATATTCTCCTATATTCACAAAAGGTTTTTGTTAAACAGGGTGAATGTTATTTCAAGTGTCTCTAAGCAGAAGTACTAAGACCTGCAGGGTTTAAATTAACCTCTCAATTTTTAGTACTTTTTGGGTGCTCTCTTTTTGTTTAAGTTCAAGTATCAAAGAACAAAGTACTCTCAAGTCTTTGTTCCTCTAACAGATGGATGTTAGATTGTCAGCCCTTCTGAAAATTGTATCACATCTATCTGTTACTGTCACTTAAAGCTAAATGCTCATGTGATCTGCATCTTCTCATGCCTGTCATCAGAGCCAGAAATAGAGCACAAGTTATCTTTACTGGTACACACTAATTTTGAAATTACCTTTGGAGAACTTAATGTTATGTTGACCCATCCCATATACTTTGGTAGAAGAAAGCAGTAACTTTTCTCTTGTGATTCAGATAAAACTGTCAGAAAAAAGACTCCCGATTCAAACTCTGCTGGCAAAAGAGAAAAGACACATCAAAAAAACCAAGCAGCTGTGAGTCTTACTGCATTGATTTGTTAAGCATTTTTTTTAAATGTGTGAAATGCAGATTTTAGTTTCTCTTTAATCCTTATAACAACTCTGAGGACCAGGGATGATCCAAAGCCTTCTGGCAGAGGTCAGAGAGTAAGTGTTCATCACATGTCTCAACATGACCAAAGTTTTGCTTCTGTTTCTTGTGGTAAAAAATCTGCTCCACTTGTAGCATCTCCTCAAGTTGATTCTTCATGTATTCCTACTTCATAGTTTTATCAATTATTTTCTGACCTTTTTTGTTCAGAAAACTAACCTTAAGTCAACCTGATTTGAAGTGCCTTATTTAGGTATCTCATTCAACATAGCACTGAAACTTCAAGTTCTCCACCAGTATTATGAAAATCTGCTGAAAATGTTACAAAAATGGTGGAACAAAGACATATGTATTTTATTAACGTGCATTGTTTAAAAACCCAGACTGTTTTTATCAAGCTGTTGATGATTATGGTGATTTTGGGCACAAATTGGACTTCCAGTAATTTATTTGAACATTGAAAAAATAGTTAAATTCCAAAAGTGACCTGGTATTTTCTTTTTATGAAGGACAATGATTCTCAGATAAGAGAGCTGGAATCTCTGACACTGCTTTTAACTTACCTGAGAATAAAGGTGAGAGTCAATTGAGTATTTGGTGTTTCAGATTATATTGAGGAATTAATTTATTGTGTATGTCTTCTGATGTGTAGAAGTTAGATTTTTGTAACCTTTTATGTTTGCATGGCTTGCTTTGAACACTCTTGAAGTGAGTGAATTCAGTGACAGTTCATTAAGTTGCTTGTGAAGATTAGGGATATGTAGAAGTTTTGGGAAAACTGAGTGAGAGTATTTGAAGCTCAGGCTGTAGCAATGACTTTGTTCTTTGTTCCCTCAGGGCCATAGAGGTTTATTTTTCCACTGCAAAAAATATCAGCAAGGATGGGGGAAGAAGATGGAGGGGGGGGACTTCAACTCTAATAGGGGGGCTTCAGCTGTAATGTACTGTGCTTATTGCATGAAGCCTCCAATTCATTAATTGAAACTATCTGAGGTTCCCATTTGTTTCTTTAGAAGATGTTAATTACTTGGATGAAGCATTACTTGTGAATATTGTTTTTTGGTGTAATAGGCAGGAAAAAATCTTGCTGAACTGGAGGAGAAAGCAGAAAAAAACTTGCTAATGTTATGTGAAGAAAAGCAGAGACAGCAGGAGAAGCTCTGGGAGTTGAAGCGTGAAATTATGCTCAAAGAGAGAGAGCAGAAGCTTGATGCTGCGTTAGACAAACAGGTAGACCTTGGTATGACTTTTACTTCTATATTTAGTAGTCTTTTATTCAGAGAAGATTTCTCTACTCAGGTGGTCTGCTGGGATACAATTTCATGCATCTTAAACAAAATAAATACCTTCTTCCTGTTGTGACGTGTAATGATCTCTAGTAACCTAAGGAAATGCCTTTGTCACTTTGTTGTTGTCCCTTGTGGATGGGCAGGAAGGAGAAGTTGCAGCTGTTGAGCAAGGGGCAGCAAGAGTGTACCAGTTGCCAGAGCAGTTTCCAGTTGATGCACAGGAGAGACAAGTGAATATCCTAGAGTTAAGCAATTGCAGCTAGAGCTGAGAGGCTAATCCTTAGATAATAAAGGAACAACTGCTCTTCATGTATCATATTTTTATATGTTAGCAGTTGTTCTGGCCTGGTTGTAAGAAGGAAAGTGATGAATAATTAAGCTTTGAATAATTAAATTTCAAACCTGTGTTTGCTTTTAACAAACATGCACTGCAAAAATTAAACAAGACTGTTAGCTTTTGAGGAACAGACTGTCAACTACAGTCAAAGTGTCAAATATAAACCACTTTATCTGCTATGGTTTTAATACCTCAGAGCTACAGTAACAAGGCAACTGGTATTGACCTAGGCCTGTTGAGGTGGTAGAGGAAAACATATTAAAGAGCATGACATGAGTATTATACCATGAACTTCTTAAATTCCTGAGCATTTCTGAGTGTTTTTTTGGGTTTTATTAGAAATTACTTGTCTGTAATGAGCCAAATCTGTGCTAACAAAATGGCTTCTTTGACAAGGTGTTGATTCCTGGTGTGTCTCTTTCAGATAGAAATACTTTCTCCCCTTGTTCCTGTTTGTGAACGGTTTAAAGAGCAATATAAACGCTTTGCACATTCCCTGGATGCCACAAGACATGCATTACCTATCAAAAATATCCACATAGAAGGAGATATGCTAACATACCTTGGTATGAAAATTTGATTTATCAAATTTACTTTCAGGACCAGTTAGTTTTGGCATGCCAAAGTTTTTGTTATTGCTGGATCTGTCTGTGGCCACTGGAGGAATTTTGTGGGCTCTGGGAGCTTGTATGGACACTGGGCTGCAGCATTAGTCACATGTTTTTGTATGAATAATTCTTACTTCTCTTTCACCACTAAACTGAACTTGAACAAGTTTTTATCTTGCAGCAGGAAAAAAATTAACTTTCTAAGCTGGGGCAGTCTTCTTATACAGGGTTTTTTTCAGCAAGTTTCTGTATCTTTTAACTGTATTAGTGATATTCATCCTATTGAATACATTAATATTTGTGGTTTGTATTGAAGTCTGGACAAAAAGCTACATTTTTTAACTGTTGATCTGCAAGAAACAAGATTCTTAAACCATTTACAATAATCTTGCTTATACTTTAAAGCAAAAGGAAAAGGTTTATTGGAGAACTTAAAATTCTTTTAAGTCTTGAAAGGAATAGATGTGGTTTTTTTGGTTTGTGGATGCTAAAAGAAGGAACTGGATACATTTTGTGTTGGGGGTACATGCCAAGAGCAATATATATATAACTTGCCAGGGAATTTTTGATGTTTAAAACTTGTTCTTTCTCTTTAATTTTTGTCTTGTAAAAATATTTTACATACTCTGAACGAGAACTTGATTTGCAATTTTAAATAGTTGCTGGTATTAGTCACAATAAGCTAAAAATAATTTGCCTTTCCCAGTTTTCCCATGTTGTGTTTGTGAGAGCTCAGCAGACAGTTTTCCATCATCAGGTTCACCTGTCCCTGTGGCAGTTATTGAGTAACCTTGTAGTAACTGGTGTCACTGCTTGCATTTTTGAATAATATCTTTTAACATCTCGTGTTGTAGATGAACTGCAAAAGGAGTTAAGTATCACCCAGGAACTTCTGCCAGAAGTTATGCCAAGGCTCTCAGGAGAAAATACAAAAACACTTGGTGTACTCAAAGAACTTAAAGAAGTGTCTCAGGAAATGGATAAAGAGCTTCGAAGGTATTTACAGCAATCAGGTGAAAAGTCTCACTGGCTAAATAGTCAGAGGAAAATCTGTAGATCTCACCAGAAGATGTCCAGAATGTGTTTTGGAGGAGGATTAATTGAGGGGATATTAGCACTAAATAGAATTATCTTTGTGCCTGTGTCTGTTCCTACCCTACCTACACTAAAAGTAAATATTTGGGGTTTTTTTCTTTGTGTATTCTAAGTGAACTATTTTAGTGTCAAGCAGGAGTTAATAGCCTGCAGAGTAACTGACTGAATCTGCTTCATTTGTTCCAGGTACAAAAACACTTGGTGTACTCAAAAAACTTAAAGAAGTATCTCAGGAAATGGATAAAGAGCTTCAAAGGTATTTACAACAATCAGGTGAAAAGTCTCACTGGCTAAATAGTCAGAGGAAAATCTGTAGATCTCACCAGAAGATGTCCAGAATGTGTTTTGGAAGAGGATTAATTTAGGGGATAGTAGCACTAAATAGAATTATCTTTGTGCCTGTGTCTGTTCCTACCCTACCTACACTAAAAGTAAATATTTGGGGTTTTTTTCTTTGTGTATTCTAAGTGAACTATTTTAGTGTCAAGCAGGAGTTAATAGCCTGCAGAGTAACTGACTGAATCTGCTTCATTTGTTCCAGGAGCTTCACCCAAGTGCAGAACCTGTCGTTTCAAGTTAGTAAAGAAGTTTCTCTGCATAACCAGAGAGTGTGTGAAGAGAGACATGGACTAGATGAAGTGAAACGCTGGTACTTTGACTAAGTTTGTGTGTTATTTTACTAATAGGTGGGTACTAGATCAATGCCAGCAGACCTGTTAGCTTTTTACTTGTGTGAAGACATAACTTGTCCCAGTTTTTTTGTTATACTTACAACAAGTGAAAAGTTTTGGTAATTTGTTGCCTGGTTGTCTTTGAAACAAATTATTAAAATCCTAAATGCCTTTGTCTTAACCTGACACCTTCTCTATAAGGACTTCATTTTTATAATAATAAAGACTATTTTTCACTGCTATATCAATGTAATGTTTGAGTATCTTCACTGATCTGCAGAAGCTCTTGATTCCTTTTGGATTTGCACAGGGCTAATACTGCACAGTATGTGCAGTGCTGGACTTAAAGGCACTAACCAGCCCCAGTGGCACACTGTGGTGTACTGAGAGCCCAGGTGCTGAGGCCAGAAGAGTATGAATGTGGAAAGAAACCTCCAATTAATTACTGAGTAAGGGCCTGAGAAAGAGTGTGCTCTGTTATGTTAAATGTTCTCTCTGAAAGGCATTCTGTATTGTGTATTTTTCATCCGTGGAAACTCCTTTTGTGCTGGTTTTTCAAAATGTTTGGTTTCTGTCATCTGCACAATGGTTTCTGGCTTAAGATGTGCCTATAAAGCTTTTTGGCTTGTTCAAAGAAGACTTGGAGCATTCTGCTTACACTCTTTAAAGTGCTATTCAGGCTTTCTGTCTAGTATTACTAAGGGTATTTATCCTTTTATTAAAAATTAGGAGTACATTAATCTGCGGTAAGCTGGATCAGTAAGATGTGCAGTGGTTGGGAGGTCAATATGTAACAAGCTATTAAGGCCCTCCTTGTATATAACATCACAGCAATTTATTCATGAGGCAGTGGGAGGACAATGTGTTGTTTTAAGATACCAATGTGTTTCTTCCTCAAACCTGTTAAGATCTGCACCTGTGTGTGCTGCCATTCCAGCCCTGAGTTGTAGGTGCTGCACACGGCAGGAACATCAGCTGCACCCACCAAGTTGGCCACTGGATGGGGAACTTTGCTAAGCAGCCAAGTCACGGGTCAGCTGCAAATTGGTTTTGATGGATGGTGGTCTCGGTAGAAAGGCTCCTGTAAGACGAATGTGCTGGTCAAACAAATGGTTTTCCTAGGTTTGGATGATTCCTCAGGCCTTTCATCTGCTTGTCATCAGTGTGTCGTGCTGAGACTCAGAAAGTTGAGAGGGTTCTTTTTAAATAAGAGGGAGGAGATGAGATAAAATGAAAATCAAGTTTATTGTGTCTCGATAACTCTAACTCTGTGCAGACACAAGTCACAGTGTATCCTAGGACTTCTTGATGGTAGGCCTCGTTGCTGGTGTAAAAAAATATTGATAGGAAGTACTTTAAAATTAAACCCTTCCTCTTCAGTCAGGTGAGTTTCTACTGTTGAGATACTATTGTGTGTGTATACACACACACACACACAGTGTTGCCTAAGCAGCAGACAGCAATACAGATTTTCAGTATTAAGTAGAAAGCTCTTAGTTCCTTCCCTGCAGAAGTGTGGTGGGGAAAGCTGCGATGGCAGTGAAAGGCTCCTGGTCTGTTGGGGCAGCAGTTCATCCTGGCTGCTGTAGGCGGCGGTCGCTGCCTGCACAACAGGCTGAGGTCACAGTGGGAGTCCTGGAGCTAAAGACTGGACCGAACAATAAAGTGCCCGGGGATGTGCACTCATTGTTTCAGAAGAATCATGGGCATTGATCTGAGTATTCTGGCCATTCTTGTCCTTGAATTGAGCACTTGTATAATTCTTTGTACAAATGGTAGAACAAGTGGTAGATAAAGCAGCTCAGCCTCTCCTCAAAAGGTTTTTTAATTGTTTTGACTTTTCCATCTTGATTTTCCTGAATATTCTTTCCAAGTGGTTCTGGTTTGGCTCTTTGCAGAAGATTTTTAGGCTTCTCCACCTTGAAATAGCCACAGACATTAGATGCTGCCATATTTAACACTGTATAAACAACAACAACAAAAGGACTGCAGAATCAGTGGAGCAGGAGCTAAGCAGATGTGACACCACTGATTTTGTATTTTCCACTTGTTTTCTGACAATGTCACGTGCTCTGAATCTGGCTGGAGTTCTAAACAACTGAAAGGCTCTTTTTATTCAGGCTATTGATATCTTGTTGTTTTGTTTTATTCTTGTTTGTTGTTTTTTGTATAGAATTAATCATGTTCTCCTTTCTGTAACATGTATCTATGTAGATTTTTGTTTTGCCTAAACTTGTGCAGTACTTGTTACCTAGGTATTCATCTTTTAGGCCAGCAGTACTCATTGACCAACTGCCAATGTTAATGTGTACTAAGGTGCTTTTTTTTGCCTTTTTTGTTTTTTTTGGAGGTGGGAGGAAGGGAAGCTTCTTTATCTTCCGAACACTGAAAGCCATTGTGAAAGGGGGCAGCTAAGTTAGAGAGCCTGGGTGGGAAGGGAGGAGCACAGAAATACTAAGCACTCTTCCCCTGCAAAATTCTCTTGAATTGTCTGAAAAGCAATTGCAAAAGATAATTTGAAGTTAGGTTTGCCCTGCACTGATTACCCTGCCTGCACTCTGGCATTTTTGGGGGAGCTCTGACCACATCCTCTTCAGTTACGTCAGTGTTGCCTGATTCTTTCGACCACCACCAGCTCAGGAGGGCTGAGTCAAAGCATTTTTTGCTGTAATTCCTGTGCTCTCTGCCATCGGGTCACCAGGGGTCAGCCTAAGGGAGCATCTCTCTTGCCTGTGGCCGCTGCAGCCCAGGAGATCACCAGAGACCCGTTTGTCCTTCACCACCACCCCCCAACCCTGCAATTCTTTGTTCACACTGGGAATGGAGCTGATTCTTTGCTCATCAGCAGCAAGTAAGCAGCTCATGACCCCAGCAGATGTTTCTGCATTTTAGGCTAATGAGAACTTATTGGATTACTGCAGTCTTCCCTGCCTGGGAGTAAATACCACTTTGTTGGAGATCCGGAAACTCATACTGAATATGATAAACAAACTGCTGGCTGGGCTGGGGTTGCCAGGACATGAAAAGAGTTCCACAGCAGCAGAGGATCTAACGGCTCTGAAATGCACCACTGAGCCACTCCAATTAAGAGCATTTCCAGTGATTATGTGAGCATTCCTGTTCAACTCACAGAAATTGTTTTAGGTTGTTTCTTCCGCTGCGTTGGTGTGTGGTCTGTAAAGCAAGCACAAGGATTGAGGACGAGTTCTGCACTGGTCTCAAATGCCTCTGATCGGTTTCTTTTTTAAAATATTTTTGGGGTGATGTATGTGCAAGAGGTATGGAGTTTCCTGCTATTTCAAGATCTTAAATTTCATATATTAGGGAGGCAAATACAATTTGCCTCTTAAGACATAGCTAATTTTTTGGTGATCTAGAGACTATCTTTGGAGCTGGCCTGTAGGAGGTCAAAACTTAATTCCTTGGTTTAGTGTCTACTACATTAACTGCATATGGGGGGAGTGGGAAGTTAAACCCCTGATGGAACAGCAGTTTTGAGGACCACTAACCAAAAAGATGTTCTGTCTGTGGCACTTAGTCCTTTCAGCAATCCCACTTTGTTGTGTGTTTCTTCAGAACTTTTTTAGGCAGTATTTCAGTAAGGGAGATGGTAAGCAAGTGACTGTAGGAGGGCAGAACTGATCCCTAGCTAAACCAGGATGCAGCCTGACTACAGAGCAGTGTTACACACTTGGGCAACGTCAGCACCTTGGGAACAGGGTAAGTGGAGTATCTGTCTAAGGCAGCACCCAGAGATGTCAGATCCCTTAACCCTTTCTTGCTGCCTTTTTCTTGAAAAATTTGTTTTCACCTAACTGAACAAAATCAAATTTCTCTAGTATGATTTGTATGATAAAAGGACACCTCTACCCATTCCTAATTATGAATGTGTCCAGATGAAGTTTTAATAACTCTTTAAGTGTGATGACTTCACAACTTCTCTGATCCCTTATTTATGCATAAAACTTGAACCAGAGACTAAGCAAAAACTTCTGCTGTATCAGTCATGTAGAGGCTGAGAAGAAAACTGGGAAGTAGTTTTGTACAGAAATGTCTTAATGACAGGCACTTCTGATTAAGCACAGTGCTCTATTCCTGTTCTAAATCAGTATCTGCCCATATGAATTATTTCCTAGTTTTGTCAGGAATTAAGATCTTCTATTACTGTGATAGATCAGCCTTTCCTGCAGATTATTAATAAGCATTTTTGATAGAACTATAACAATTATATTGTCAATACCATTACCCTGTGTTATGCCACTTAGATTACATTCTTATTTTGAATATGTTCTTTAATCATCCTTTCCTTGTAATTTTGTTGTAGAGATGCTTGTATTGCCAGGATTACAGGATCAATCTTATTTCTACCCACTGTGTATCTGGACTGATGTATTTTATGTACAAATACCTTCTCCTCAGTGCTGGTAAGCTTGCAGTAGCCTGGCAAAGCCCATGGCCACTGGGTTTGCAGTTATCAGTTTGTACTTGAGATATGTGTTTGGCTAACAGAAAGGAGGCTGTCACAGGAATAGGAAGGGAGAACAAAACTGGGAGTTTAAGAAATGGATGTGGGTTTTTTACCATTAGTATAATGCTGTAAAAATTAACTAAAGCCTTATTCTTGTCTGGTAGTCTAATGATTGACAGGAATGTTTTTCTGCTGGGAATAGGGGACAAATGATCCTAGTTTCTCTAAAGCTGATAACTTGGCAAGTGAAATCCGCCTGAAATCTAGTGTGTAAAGGACTTAATGCAAACTTAAATAATTAATGGCCTTGCAGCATCTTATATGCACTATTTATGCATGTATTTTCAAAATCTTTTAAGTGAGTATTGCCTCCTGTGCCTTTAGGTCTGCTCATCTACGTGGCAAGTTAGTGATGGTGTTCAAGCTGAGGCAGCTAATAAGGGCTAATTATTAATGGGATGATCCTGTCACTTGATTCTTGTGAGTGGTCTTGCTGATTTGAATTTTGCAACTGAGAGGGGAA